GCTGGGGATTCGAACCCGCCACCATAGGTGTATGTGGCTGGCGCCTTAGGCGCTTGAGCCACAGGCGCCGAGCCAGAGGCTCTGTCTTAAAAAAGAGAGAGAGATTATCCTGTCTCCGTCTCCCAAGTAGCTGGGACTACAGGTGCCTGCCACAATGCCCAGCTATTTTTTGGTTGCAGTTGTCATTGTTGTTTGGAGGGCCCGGGCTGGATTTGAACCTGCCAACTCAGGTGTATGTGGCTGGCGCCTTAGCCTCTTGAGCCACAGGAGCTGAGCTTGGGATTATTTTTCAACAATCAAAATACAGTCTCTGTCCTTTGGACCCCTAGAGATTGAAGTCTTTCCTTTCTCCTCCCTGCTCTGTTCTCGAGTTATCATCCTGGCCTTCCTGTGGCTCTGTCACACCCCACACTCACCGTGTGGTCCCGCTCCACCACCAGTACCCGTATGGCACCTTGGCGCTTCTCCAGCTTCTTTAGCCAGTAGGCCACAGATAGGCCGAGGACCCCACCTCCCACGATCACCACATCACAGCGTTCAGGAGGCAGGTGACTGGTGTCATACAGTGGATTCCTGTCTTCTCCAGGCAGGATTGACCGGATCTTCTTCTTAAACTCAGACACTCTTCCATTCCAGTCTGTGGGACATAGTTACAGTCATTTGGCCATGTATTTCCTTCCCATGTAGTGGTGAGGGGAGGTTGGAAGATGGGCACAGGAAAAGGTGGGCTAAATAGACTCTTGAATTGGCAGTCCCCACTGTTATCCCTTCTCATGAGGTCACCTTGCACCTGGCAGTGTCGCCACAGCTTTCCTGGATGATCTATGTGTGATCAATCTTCCTTTTCATGCACCATGCCCAACACAGCAAGATTCAACTTCCTAAAATGAACATACTGTCTCCTTAAGCCATGTAACTAACATATTTATTCCCTGCACAAACCTTTCTCTCCCCTGAGCCACAGACTCATATATCAACTGCACTGCCATCTGTACATGGGTATTCCAGGCCCCTGGACTAAGATCCCAGCACATTCCAAGCTGTAATCCCCTCTGAAACATGGTACCTCTACATGGCATCTTACCCTTTACATCCATCACCACCAGTGAACTTACATTAGTATCTATCTGTAATCAAGTCCTGTTGACATTGACTCCCAAATAACTCCATAATATGTCTCCTTTCCTTCCATCTCTGCTATCACCATCCCAGGCCAAGTCATTATAATCTCTTACCTGGACAAATGTAAAGGACTGTTTCTACTCCTTCCCCTCCTGTCCATCCCCTCTCCTGCTAGTTTTTCTACATGATAGCTAGAATGATCTTTTTTTTTTTTGAGACAGAGTCTTGATCTGTTGCTGTAAGTAGAGTGCAGTGGTGTCGTTGTAGCTCACTGCCACCTCAAACTCCTGGGCTCAAGTGATCCTCCTGCCTCAGCCTCCTGAGTAGCTGGGACTACAGATACCTGCCACAGCACCAGGCTTTTTTTTCTATTTTTAACATAAGGTACTGCACAATCTGACTTTTGCTCTACTTGTCCTCTCCCATACTCCAACCCTTTCAGTTCCTTGATTGAAGGTATTTTTTTCATCACAGGAAATCTACACATCTCTGTGCTTTAAAACTGTGGCCACTGCCCTGTGCAGTGGTTCATGCCTATAATCCTACCTAGCTCTCGGAGAGGCTCTCAGGAGCTTGGGACCAGTCTTCTGTCTCGTTAAGTCCTTGCTTCCCTTAGATTTCAGCTCAAGTTATTTTCTCAGGAAAGGCCCTCTAGACTAATTCCCCTACCACATGGTCTCTTGGCTCTGTAAACCTCTCTTGCAGCATGGACACATTTCCAAATGTGAGCTTGTGATTGCTTCATCCTGTAAAATTTATCAGGACACACTAAGTTTACTTTCACCACTGACTTTCCAGGCTAGCCAACACATGGCACATTCCCAGTGCTCAGTTAAGTAATGAATCTTTTTGCCATTTCATACCTAATTCACTCTTCTCAGCAGCACTAGACTCTTTCTTTGATCAGGACTTAACCTTATTCATCCATACTACATTTCATGGTACCACTCAAACTGTCCATCTAGATGGCTGTTGCTAGTTCCTTAGACAAGAACAATACTTTTCTCCTAATCTGTGCTCAGTTCTTCATAGACAAGAACATACACCTTATTGAACCAGTAAACATTATCCTTCAAGGCTGATCTCAGTTCCCACCTGCTCTATGTACTTCTACTGTTATCCTGGCTTATAGTCCAGCAGTGTGGGGGGCAGTCTTCAAGTTGAGTTCTACAAGACTGAGTAGTTCAAGCCTGGTCTACTGTCTACTGAAATTTCCCTCGCTAGCTACACTCCAGGCATCTTTAGGATATACACTGGATCCTTTCATCTCCTCACGATTGTGCCACCAATGAGCCAGCCTGACCCCAGTCGTTCTGGTGGTAGGCTGGCACAGAATGACGTAAATTCGTCACCCGAGAGGGTCGCTTGGGAACCACACACTGCCACAAGCTGCTGCAGGCAAGCTGACCACCGCCCCAGATGACCCCTTGTCCCGCCAGAGGTCACGCAGCTAGAGGTTAGAGCCCTCACATTACCCAGAGTAGAGCCTCTTTTGCGTATGCTCAGCCTCCGCACCGACAAGTCCTGACCCCGGCCCCAGCCGAGCCGCAGCATCCTCCGGAACATGGTCTTGCTCAGCTTGTGTCCTCGGAGAGGTGTACCTCGCGTCGGATCCCATACCAGCAGCCGCCGCTCCTGCCACCGGGCGGGGATCGAGCGCGCATTGGCCAGAGGCCCCGCGGTCCCCGCCTCTCCACTCTACAGGCAGCTGTCGCCCGGGATCTTTCCTTGGGACCCACCCAGGCCCTCTGCCAGCTGCCATTGGCTGGCCTGGCATTTACGTCAGTCCTGAGCGCCCTCGGGCGGAAGCGGGAGGGAAGACGGAGGATCTGAGCGGAAGTGCGGCTGAGCCGGTTTCCGGGGCTGCTGGTGTGACGTGTCCCGCGCCTGGCGCAGCAGGAAGCGGCGGCGATCGCGGCCTGAGTTCTCGGTGCCGGCCCTAGTTGCTTTCCCGCTGCCGCCATGCTAGACTTCTTCACTATTTTCTCCAAGGGCGGGCTTGTTCTCTGGTGCTTCCAGGGCGTGAGCGACTCTTGCACTGGGCCCGTTAACGCGTTGATTCGTTCCGTGCTGCTGCAGGTACCGCCCCCACGGGATCGGAACTCTGGACTGTTCCTCCCTGACCCTGTCCATGGTCTTCTTCGACTGGTCATCCTGCGCCTCCCTCCCCACCCTCCCTGTCCTCCTCAAACTGGTCACTCACCCGCAACCCAGACTCTACCTCTTTCTTCCACCCGCATCAGACCGTCCCGCAACTTTGCGACGCCCCCCCCCCCGCCTCCGGTGTCTGGGACTCTAGCTGGATTCCAGGTCCTTTGGGGACTTCCCTCTGCTCCCTCCGTTCACCACCAACAGCTTGGTTTTCTGTTAGTTCGGGGCTGGATAAGATAATGGATGGAAAATGCATTTAAAAACTGTAAATGGGGACAGCTGCTGGAAGACCTGACTGTTTATGTGACTCCTATCCTTCTGGCTCCCACATGCCTTTCTGTCTCTCTCATCTCTTTTCACCTTTTCCCGACTCCTTTTCTTTCTGGTGGAATGCTAAAGAGAAGTGCCATAGCATCCCCTTGTCCTGGGCACAGGTTTGACTTCGGGGAAAATATTTGGTTCTTTCCCAGAGGTAATCCCGAAGGGGCCAGATTTAGGTTTTCTGAGAATAGGCTGAATTCTGAGACATATTCTTTCCCTAGGAGCGGGGAGGTAACAACTCTTTCACCCATGAGGCTCTCACACTCAAGTATAAACTGGATAATCAGTTTGAGCTGGTGTTTGTGGTAAGTAGGGGTGTTTTGGAGGGGCAATGATTACATTCTCTCTTTTTAATTAAAAAAAATTACATTCTCAATATAATCCTCATTAATTGCACCCAGCATATATGATGAAATAACAGAAAGCTAGGAAGGTGGAAGGGGGGTGGGGGAAGCAACAGCTTCTGGGCCCAGGCAGAGAGCTTGGCTGCTTCTCAGGACAGGGAAACCTTCCAGATGGCTGAGCCTATCTCTGGATGCCTGGGTTGAGTTGGTTTCCCTTTAGGTTGGCAGGTAAGCAGGTAAGTTGGCACTCTTTCTTTCCCTAAACAGGTTGGTTTTCAGAAGATCCTAACACTGACATATGTGGACAAATTGATAGATGATGTGCACCGGCTGTTTCGGGACAAGTACCGCACAGAGATCCAACAACAAAGTGCTTTAAGTCTATTGAATGGCACTTTCGATTTTCAAAATGACTTTCTGCGGCTTCTTCGGTGAGAGGCCTTCCTTCTCAAAATCAATTTCCCTTCCTGAAGGTGGTTCAAGGGTTGTAAATTGTGTGTTCAAGGAAACTCCTAGTTTGCTGCCCATTTCTGATTGTCCTCTTGGTGTGAGGATCCATTCCCTGGACTTTTGAGTTTTCCTCCTATGTGGAATAGAAAGATCAACCCTTCTCTTTTCTCTTTAGTGAAGCAGAGGAGAGCAGTAAGATCCGTGCTCCCACTGCCATGAAGAAATTTGAAGATTCTGATAAGGCCAAGAAACCTGTGAGGTCCATGATTGAGACACGGGGTGAAAAACCCAAGGAAAAAGCAAAGAATAGTAAAAAAAGGGGGGCCAAGAAGGAAGGTGAGTTTGAGTTCAGTGGACACATGGGGATGTGAAAGGTGTGATGTGGTGCTTAGGGTCGAGGTTGGGCTGACTTTTGTCATTGCTTGCCACCTTCTCCTTCATATGCTTTATTACCACCCAGCAGGCCTTGTGACCCAAGATGTTTGCTCCAAATTTTCTCTTAGAAATTTATGACTTTTAGCCATTGTCTAGTTGGTTAGGATTTGGCCTTTCTCCAGTGAGGTTTCTTCTGACAGGTTCTGACGGCCCTTTGGCTACCAGCAAAGCAGTCCTTGCAGAAAAATCAGGTCTTCCAGCAGGACCTGAAAATGGAGAACTTTCCAAGGAGGAGCTGATACGCAGGAAGCGAGAAGAGTTCATTCAGAAGCATGGAAGGGGTATGGAGAAGTCCAGGTGAGCACCCCCCAGTACTCTCAAAATACTGTTACCTAGACACACTGGAGACAAGAATGCTCTTGTTTCTGGCTCATGTTTCCTTTCCTGTTTCACATACTGTAATCCATTGCAGCAAGTCCATGAAGTCAGATGCTCCAAAGGAGAAGGGCAAAAAAGCACCCCGGGTGTGGGAACTGGGTGGCTCCACTAACAAGGAAGTTCTGGATTACAGTACTCCCACGACCAATGGAACCTCTGAGGCTGCTTTGTCTGAGGATATCAACTTGGTAAGAGGCAACAGGGACCAGAGTGAAAGTTGCCTGTAGTAAGAAATTGGGGAGGAAGTAGAGATGAGGAGCTTAGTATCTGGGGACTGGTTATATTTGGAGCCTCCCCAAATCAGAGAGAATGAACATTGTGGACAGGTTGAATCCTGGGCTTTTTCCTCATTCAGAGCCCTAGTATTCCTGACCTCATCTCCTTCCTTCCCCTATATCCTTCAGATTCGAGGGACTGGGCCTGGGGGGCAGCTTCAGGATCTGGATTGCAGCAGCTCAGATGATGAAGGGGCCGCTCAAAATTCCACCAAGCCTAGGTAGGGGGATTTCAGGTGGGAGATGGTATGTATGGTTGCAGAATTTAAGATAGAACTTCTTCCTACTGGTTATGTGTATTTGTGATCACCTGTGCCTGCAGTGCTACCAAGGGGACCCTGGGTGGCATGTTTGGGATGCTGAAGGGCCTCGTGGGGTCCAAGAGCCTGAGTCGTGAAGACATGGAATCTGTGCTGGACAAGATGCGAGACCATCTCATTGGTAAGTTCTGGGGACCAGCTGACGCGTGTTCCTGGGGTTGGCATGTTGAGAGCAAACCCACCTAGGGTTTCTCATCTGTATTATAAATACTGGTCACTGCTGACATACAACTCACACACCTTTTCTCCTCTCCTCAGCTAAGAACGTGGCTGCAGACATTGCTGTCCAGCTATGTGAATCTGTTGCCAACAAATTGGAAGGGAAGGTGATGGGAACATTCAGCAGTAAGTATCTCCCTAAGCTAGAAAAGTGCTTATACCTACCCTGAGGTTAAGCACCTGACTTTTGGCAAATTCCTTAACCTCTAAGTCTCTGTCTCATAACTTAGATTATAAGAGTTAATAAGAGGATTAAATGAGTTAGTAACCATGAAGTGATTTTGGTCTGGCTTCTTGGGACAAGGTCCTAGTATTATCCTTCAGCTCAGAAAGGTGTTACGCATTTTTGAGTGCATTTCTTGTGTTTCATGGCCACAGCCTCCTCTGCCTTTCCTTTTATTTTTTTTTGAGACAGAGCCTCAAGCTGTCCCCCCTGGGTAGAGTGCTGTGGCATCACAGCTCACAGCAACCTCCAGCTCCTGGGCCCAAGCGAGTCTCTTGCCTCTGCCTCCCAAGTAGCTGGGACCACAGGCGCCTGCCAGAACGCCTGGCTATTTTTTGGTTGCAGCTGTCATTGTTGTTTGGCAGGCCCAGGCTGGATTCAAACCTGCCACCTTAGGTGTATGTGGCTGGCGCCTTAGCCACTTGAGCCATAGGTGCCAAGCCTGCCTTCCCTTTTAGCGGTGACTTCCACAGTAAAGCAAGCACTACAGGAGTCCCTGGTGCAGATTCTGCAGCCACAGCGTCGGGTAGACATGCTCCGGGATATCATGGATGCTCAGCGATGCCAGCGTCCTTATGTTGTCACCTTCTGTGGTGTTAATGGAGTGGGAAAGTCTACTAATCTTGCCAAGGTCAGTGAAGTTCCCCATCCTGTCACTGATACTTCATCCATGTCATAGGACCTCGGTTCTGACAGTTTTCTTACCTCTTTTGCAGATTTCCTTCTGGCTTTTAGAGAATGGCTTTAGTGTCCTCATTGCTGCCTGTGATACATTTCGTGCTGGGGCAGTGGAGCAGCTGCGTACACATACCCGGCGTCTGAGTGCCCTACACCCACCAGAGAACCACGGTGGCCGTACTATGGTGCAGTTGTTTGAAAAGGGCTATGGCAAGGATGCTGCTGGCATTGCCATGGAAGCCATTGCCTTTGGTACAGTGCATTGGGAAATAGGACTTGTTGGGGCCCCTTTTGCTTCTTGGATTCCCTTAGAACTTGCAGAGGGTCAGCTTACCTTACTAGAAATGTTCATCGGATACAGAAAGAAGTAAGGATTAGTTATCTGCAGTGTGCCATGCTTGTGGGTAATATGAGCAGACAAAGCTAATATATCCTACTCAAAGAAACTCTTATTTGATCACTTTTATCCTTTTGTCATCCTTTTTACCATATTTGGTGATGGCCAAGCATAGTGTAAGTTTTTTCTCAGATTACCTTATACCCAAATCCAAAGACTAAGAAAGTAAATAGGTTTTTAATATAGCAAGAGCAGGACTTTTTGAGAAGCTGGAATTGAACATGAGATAGTCCAGGTATCTTTGAGTTGACCTTTTCTCTCTCTAGCACGTAACCAGGGCTTTGATGTGGTGCTGGTGGATACAGCAGGCCGCATGCAGGACAACGCACCCCTGATGACTGCCCTGGCAAAACTCATAACTGTCAATACACCTGACTTGGTGCTGTTTGTGGGAGAGGCCTTAGTAGGCAATGAAGCCGTGGACCAGCTGGTGAGGGCTAGGGCCTTCTTCCTTTACAGCCTAAGCTTTGACCAATTAGATGGTTGAACTTACCACCTTTTCTTTCCAGGTCAAGTTCAACAGAGCCTTGGCTGACCATTCTATGGCTCAAACACCTCGGCTCATTGATGGCATTGTCCTTACCAAATTTGATACCATTGATGACAAGGTAAATCAAGGTGGATATGGATGACACAAGACAGTGGGACTGGAGGGTAGAATGGGCATTCTTCTGTCAGGGAGCTGAGGCTATAAAGACACCTTAGCTCTAAAGCTTCCTGTCCAGGGAAGTAAGTGAAAAGTGGGCTTGAGTAGACTGACTATTCCCTTTCTCCACTTTAGGTGGGAGCTGCTATTTCCATGACGTATATTACAAGCAAACCCATCGTTTTTGTGGGCACTGGCCAGACCTACTGTGACCTACGCAGTCTCAATGCCAAGGCTGTGGTGGCTGCCCTCATGAAGGCTTAATGTGGCTCTTGCCCAATACCAAATCACCGCATCTCCCCACAATCCCCTATTCCTCTATCAAGAATGTGCTTTAGAGTATGAGAGCAACTTGTCTTCAGTGTAATACAAAGGCAGAGTGAGGGGAACTCCAGGGGCTTGTGGCTTTAACCCCAGTCCTGGTTCAGCCTAGCCTCTACCTGCAAGGAGGGCCTAATCATGTTACAATCACTGCCCACTGACCCCACCCCCATGGGCCTCCCCCTTCCTACTCAGGCATCCCCTTCATTCTGCCTACAGATAGCTTTGACTCATTACAGCTTTGACCAATAGTTGGGAGACCTGACGCCAGAGCTTTGCTAACTAGCATGGTCATAACAGCCAGTCTGAGCCTAATGAGCAGTTTGAAGTCCCAGCTCTATTAGGTTAAGAGACTTCCAAAGCCAGCTCTGGGTCTTGAATGGCACCTCTCTCTAGGATATACATACAGCTTGTGGGTCCCTGGGGCCAGGGTGACAACCACCGCACTGTGGCAGTGTATGGCCTGTTAATTGCTGCTAATTCTGATATGTCCCCTACCCCATTGTTTCCCCCAAATACCAACTAGGCCAGAGTGATTTGTTACAGATAAAAGATAGAGTCCCTGCCTCCCTTAGGAATAAGGGAGCTAACTACAGTGTTGGGCTTCTTCCCAAATCCATATAGAAGCTTTGCATGTTCCCCTTCCTGGGAGAAAACCAAGTGACAGAAGGGTGTATGTTGCCCTCGCCCTATCTCCTTCACTTCTTGAGTGGTCCTGGCTTTTCCTCACCCTTCCTCTACAGTGCCTGTAGACAAGTGCTACATGAAGAATACAAATCTCTTGTTAAGACTTGTCCTGTAGCTTGGTATTACAGATGTGCTATTAGTGCAATAAGGTGAAGGCTGTCTGCCCAGAGAAGTACATAATTTATATAAGAAAATAAATTTGATAAATAAATTGCCTCATAGGTCTTGGAGTTCTTTTGTATAGGATTCAAAGCTAAAACTCCCATCACACTCCCAGGGCTTAGTATGGTAAGAGAAGCAACAAAGCAGGAACTAGCAGTGCTCTGAGGAGCTGTATGACACACCCAGAAAGAGGTTACCCTACCTCAAAGTGGAAGACAGAACCTTTAAAATTTGAGTTACAAAAATCAGGCTCATTATACCTCAAGGTAAGTCAGAGTTTTCTACAATGACTCTAAAAATAGAATCAAGGCCCTGGCAAGTAAATGAACAAGCTTTTAATACAGCTCAGTTATGTAAAATACTATGTACTGTAAAAGATCTAGAAAACTAGAGCTTCAAGTCATGTTTTAAAAAAGCCATTATGCTCAATTGAAAAACCCAAGTACAGAATACAAAACTGTGACAACAGCCGTGGGGACCCCTGGCACCCACATCCAAGTCCTTGCAGAGTTGCAGCCACTCATGGTGGAGGTGTCACACTGATCTGCCATGTAGACACAGCATGCCCAGCCTGGGGAGTGAAGTGGGGGGTGGAATTTGGGTTCTGTTGTTGCTTGGATGTTCTTGAACTGGAACCGGCAGCAGAAATCAGGAACCATGAAGGATTAGGTTGGAACATTCCCCCCACCCCACTCTTATCTCCAACCTTCAACCTCTGGGTATTGGTACTTCCTGGGAGCTGTGCTGGGTTCTTGTAAGTTGTTAAACACTGTCCACAGTAGAGCCTTATAGCTTGGTCTAACAGTGGTGATTTCTCTAGCTTGCTCATGTACTACAGCCTGTGGGAAGAGAGAAAAGGTAGAGAATGAAATGAACTTTTACAAAACAGGTTTATCCATCTAAAGCTGCAGATATGTAAGTCATTCATAACCCTTCAGAAAGCAAGACACAGGAAATTCTAAGACTCTTAATAAAAGACTTCATAGGAAAAGATATAACCCTTAACAGGTGGGAGAGGTTAATCACTGTTTAGTCTTAACTAAGTCCCAGGAAACCTTTTTGCTGACAGGTTAGTAGAACAAGAAACAGTATACCTCTTATTTCACTGTGCGCTGCAGAGGAGCCATTTAGCTGACCTTCTCTCACCATCCCTGCTAAATACAGAAGACATCAAAATCAGACATTAGACCGAAAACTGAAACTACCAACAGCAAAAAAGAAAACCAACCAACTAAAGGGAGATGCCATTTAAAAATGAAACACTATATAACAGAGAGATGATGAGGTGGGAAGAATAAACTAGAGTAGGTCTGAGACTTGCATTAAGTTAACAGGGAAGTAGTAAGGGGTCCTTCTGGCACTAAGACTGATTGTAAGCAAAACTTTTACATAAAGGTAAGTGTCTCTACTGCCCTTCTCTAGAAGGCTGAGTTTAAAAAAACAGAATGAAAAGTAGATGACCCCGCAGATTCCAATATGGTACCACTAGCTTTGTGGCTATTTGCTTTCAAATAATATTAAAAACTGCATTCCTGGCTCGGCGCCTATAGCTCAACCGGCTAAGGCGCCAGCCACGTACACCTAAGGTGGCGGGTTCGAATCCCCAGCC